CTTTGGCGGGTGGGGGGGTGGGGTGGAAATCTCGTTCTTGTTTACTCACCTGTTTGTTTCTGAGGTGATTACTGGAATCAACATTTGCACGTGAGGAGTGTGGGAGGAAAAACTGTTTGCCATGGCTGGTGCTGTGTGATGGATGTTCTAGGGAAGTTTTGACGTAGCAGCATGAGACTTGAGAGACAGGCAAGCCAGGACCACAGGACAGGGGTAGCAAACTAATTACATGAGGAGCTGAACGCCCCGTATCTTCAGGAGCTAGCAGAGGCCATTTGCACTTGACAAACACCAGGAGTGTCAGCAATCAGAAGTGCAATCTCCAGCCGGGGTTTGGTGTTGTACCTCAGGCCTGGCACCAGCCTGGCAGAGCACGATGTCACCGCCATGGCAGAGCTGCTGCTCTTGGCAGCTGGGCAGGAAGGCAATGCTCACATCAAGCCTTTGGTACCCTCTCTTAGGGTTTGGCTCCTGCGTTGATTCCCATTGAGAAGTACAGGCTATGGATCTGTGGGGTCCTGCGAGTTACAGGGGGTGGGGTTCTGGAAGAGGAACTGCAGCCTTGTTCCTGGCCTCGTGTACAGCCTCAGGATTTCCCCCTTATCCTCAGATCTGTGCACCTAATGCAGAAACCCAGACAGAGGACATGGCTGTGGTGAGCTATAGTTGGGAAGGATGGTTGTAGCACATTGGTGGAGGTTTGCCATGGTTGAAACCCCCTATTTGTGTGATGTCCACAGTATGGACCTACCCCATTTCCCAATTTTGTGAGGTGCATGTCCTTGCAGTGAGGAGTGGTCCTAATCCCTGCATAGTTGTGTCATATTTTGAGTTGAGCGAAATCTGAGGTACAGGAATGTTGAGATAATTGTCATGACAGTTCTGGAGAGAAAAAGAACTTTATAGATGAACCATTCATTGAAAGGCTGTTGTAAGATGCCAGTGGTAGGTAAAGGCTGGCAAATGTGAAACCTTCAGCTGATAGATTTAAGAAGCAGGCTTGATTCAGTTGTGTAAGCACAGGCCTCTGGTCCTACGGAGATGCTCTAGGATCCCTTGTGGCATCCACTTACATGCAGGGCATGGACAGGATGTCCTGTGACCTGTGGCAGATGTCCTGGTCCCAGGAGAAGCCCCACACATCCCAAGGGGCTCAGACACTATGAAGGGTTAGTGCAGCTCAGCCAGGGCGGAATGTGTGCTTGTAACGCTGAGCAGCTGCAGAACGCTTCACAACATCCCATTCTACGTCACAGCTCTCAGAAGGACATACAGGCATATGAAAGTCAACAGAAAGGCACTGCCTGGGATCCAGAATATTACATGATTGTACTCTTAATAATTTGCATTTCTTTCTGAAGAACCCATTGCATAATTTGGCTGCCAGTGGCAGAGAGCTCATTTTGGGTGTAATGAGAATTCACAGTTCTTAGAATCTGTGTACATATGATGTGTAGTATCTCAAAGAATGCTGGACTGTATGATTTGCTTCCTCAATACATAGTTTGCTCCTCTTGCATCTTTTTAACTTTCTTTGTTTCACCCATTTCTTTTTTTCCTTTTTGATTAAAAAAAGTTAGAATATTTTGTGTATTCTAATCAGACCCTGATTTGGGTCTGCTATTTTGAATTTGAATTTTTAAAGCTTATATTTTCTAAAGCCTTTTTAAAATTTGAGATTTAAGATTTTAATAGCACAGCTTCTTAAAACTACTGATATAAATTAAATGGTTAATTCTACAGAGATGACCACCTCTGTAAGGCTGCATTGTAGGAGGTAAACCCGCACCAGGATGCAGTTTTTTTTCCCAAAACCAGCTAGCCATGGGTTCCAGCTAATCAGCAAATGCAACAGAATGTTCTTTTTGAAGGACTTCTTTCATTGCTCTCTGTTTAGTGAACATTAGATCAAACATTGGTTTCTGAAGGGCCCTGTGATTGCAACAGTACAGTACATTTGGTAATACTTGGAAATGCTGCAGTCATTTCCCTTTCCTGTGAAGATGTAAGTTCCCAAATATCCTCATCTGGCCTGTAATTGGTGATAAACATCTCTGTTCACAATTTGTTTAGATTGCTTTTCTACTGTACCAAGTTCTGTGTAATGGCTCATTGCTGCACTTAGAGTGAGACTGCCTAACATTCATTTCTTGGGAGTTGAAAGATGGGATATCTAGAGTTAGTATGGAAGTACAAAAATAATGAGGAGAACTTGAGAGAAAAGCCTCTCAACAACTTATTCTCTGAAATCATTGGAATGCACATTGGAGAGACATTTTATGTTATCATTTACTACCCATCTGTACAAAAAAAATAGGCTAGGTTATTTCTAAAGTTTTATTTTAGGTGACTCTAATTATAAGCAGATTTTTACTTTGTTTTATAGACCTGGTCTACAATCTGCATTTTTAATTCTACACTTAATCATCTATACACAAAGAGTTGATATAAAATTTATGGAAATAACAGTATAATGATAGTGTATAAATTTCACAGATGTTATTAAGAAAGCAGCCAACATAGCTCATATTTACAAAGGAAACTGTCAGCTCTTTTGAAAACAAAACCCAAAAAAGCCCAAGATCATCTGTCCAGTATGGGTTGTTTTTTATGATTTTGTTAAGAGAGCCTTCATAGGTCAACAGTTTCCAGGGTTGAATACGTTTAATTGCTACAGTGGTTTCATTAAGCTGCATTTTAATTTTGCCAAATTTAATATTTAAAGAATCAGCCATTTGATTTTTTTTTTTTTAATTCTTAAATATATGAGGGAAGAAAGAAAATTCTGCCAGTTCAGCTATTGCCAAGTTTTTTTTATCTTTTTTAACAGTACCTTTGAATGATTAATGTGAACAAATGCCTTTTAGGTTTGTCTACCAGTGGAAAAGTATACCTGAGCTCATTCAAGTGCTGTTAATGAAAATGACAAAAGCAGTGATTTGTTATTGCAGCTGCCATTAGTTACTGTTTTATAAATCATATGACCTGAAGAAATACTGTGTTATTGCCCTGCATCTGGTAACCCAAAAGAAAAGTCAAGCGAGAGAAAGATCTCTAGCAGTTAATAACAAATCTATTTTGGGAAAAGGACCCTCTTTTTTTTCCAACTGGGGAGTGTGGGATAGACATGGGTGAAAGGAAACCAAGCCCCAAACCCCAACATTTTATTTATTTCTAGAAGGAAATATAAAATTAATAAGCCCACCAATAATAAGGGTTGGTAGACTCATGATCTGTAAAATGCCCACTAAACATTTCATGCCACAAAAACATGTTTGTGTGTCCCTCTGTGATTTCCCTCAGTATTTTCCATGGGTAAGTTTTTTCCTCCTTCTGGATAATCTCCTTTCTGCAGGAAGGAAGGGTCTCTCTATCAGCCTAGGACCTGAGCAGCCCTTTGAGTGACTCCTTTGGAAGGCTGTGTGTGCTGAACCTGTTTGGGTATGTAGAGTTGTTATTCTTGGTCACCACAAGGCTCTTCCACTTAGACACACATATCAAGGTCTTCTCAATTTCTAAGTCAAACAGAAATGGGAAGACTTTCCTTAATGTGATCCTTGGTTTATTTATTGTGTGCATTTTGCTGGGGTTTTGTCAGGCTGGCTTTTGTAACCTATTTTCTTCCATGAAGAAATTGCTTTTTTTAAGAGATCCTATAATTATTTTTCTTTGCTGTGGCATCTTGCAGGCCTAATCAAACTGAAGTCCAATACTCCATACATCCAACAGGAATTAACAGCAGCAAAAGCTATGCTATCCCTAGCTGGATTTCCTGGGGAGTCTTTTCTTGCTGAGTGGTTTTATGAGCTGTATAATCACATATTTGTATGATAATTCCTTTATATAGGGTCACTGCAAAAGGAAAGGATTATCTGTTATAGTAGCACTCCCTTACAACACTGAATTCTTTTAAAGCTTTCTGTTCTGGTGGAGGTTATGCTCAGACCTGCTTTGTATTCTGCTATGGACATATACATGAATTCTAGCTTGAGAATTCAATAAAAAATGATGGATGAAAAGAATTTTTGAGGCCTTAGATAACTGATAAGTTAAACATGTCCACTTTCATGACACATTGTCATTGTCACATTGTCATTAGGGCTCACATATAATTACAATTTACCAATATAACTTCCCACAAAGCCAGACATCATATTGTACATTTGATATTTACTGATCAGCATACTTCTCTGTCATCAATAAATCACCGTACCCTCTCTGCAGGAGTAGCTTGTGCTGTGCACCACAATAATAGTGCTGCTTAGAGTCCAATTTTAATGAGGTTTGAGATTATCAGATTGGTGATTGATGTAAACCAGGGTACTGTAATAATTGATTAACAAATCAACAAGTTGTCTGTGACAGTTTATGGATGAGAGAGACCTGTCTGTACTGCAGGCTTGCTTGTATCTAATTGTCAGAGAGTCTGAAGGGAAAGTAATGTGTTTGTGTGTCCATACCCAGAAAAACAAGGCAAAATACCAATGCATTTTATCTCTGAAGATAAACCCAGAAGACATTGATAATATTTTAGTATACTGTAGATCAAGTGCCTTCATAGCACGTTTTACATGATAATCAGCATAAACTTGACCCTACACCAATTAATACACATGAATACTATACTCCATAGTTTAGACCAACAGCTTTTTACTTTGAAAGACTGTAAGACTAAAACAACAGCAAATGCAGCAATGCAGATGTTTTTTTCTCCTGTAATGCATAGTTAAATAAACATTTATTTCCCAACAGCAAAATGCTTTTAAAAAATATTTTTAGTTTTCCCTAAACCCTAGCTTTTAGGGTTTTATTGTGGGGCAAGGAAAACAAAACAAAGAGTCTTCCCTGGGGAGGGGGAAGATAATGCCTTGTGAATTCTAACATCAACAGAACAGTTTAATAATAATATTCCTCTGCTGCCTGATTTCTCCCGTCTTCTTTAAATCTTGTGTGCCAGAAGAAACCTTTTTACATTTTCAACCATTCTCTTCAATTTCCCATTAGTTTGAAGACTGTTTGAGCTCTTGGTAGAACTGCGATTCAAGAAATCATGGGTGGGAATCTCTTTCCATGTGCCTGTAGAGTATTCTCTGTGTTGCATCAAAGCAGGACTGTGCTGACTCTTGAATATTCCTCATAATTGATTTCCTTGCAGGACTGTCAATGTTCATCTGAAACAAGAATAGGAAAGCCAGTTCAGTTTTGACAACTGTGATTAGTAGAGGCTGAGAGCAGCAGTGAAGGCTGTGTGGCTGGGCCTGTATGCAGAACATGGCAAGGCTCCAAATGTGAGGGAGTTTAGCAGGATGAGTTTGGTTTGCTCACTACTTCTAGGAAGAAGAAAACAGGGACAATTCAGGCAGGAATTGTCCTGTCAACATGGTTTGGATGGAATGGCTGCAGTGGAAGGAGTAGCTGAAAATTGCTGGTATCCAACCCTGCTTTCCTCTGCTAAAAATTGTTCCTAGAGCTACAATTAGGTTCCAGAAAAACCTGATGAGTCCAAGTGCCTGGAGGTGCACAGTACCAGTGGAAAAAAAATACTAAAAGAGTTATGGCCTGAGAAAAAATCGAGCCTATATATCAACTTTGTTTAGGAAAGGTTTTAGTTCTTGGAGTTTTCCTGCTGCAATTCATGGTTTGTAGCAGACAAACTGAAGCTCTGCAGGTGTGTAACAGCAGAAAGGTCTGGTGGTCAGCAAAAACACCAGATAAAAGGAACTCTTTGAAAATCCATCAGCTTATGATGAGTTCCATTGGTTGTGTTCAGCTAGACCTTGTCTGTTAGTGTGGAGAGGAGACATCTAAAGATTTGGTTGGTGCTGATGCCTTTCAGAGGTTGAGATCTTCCTCCTCCAGAGGAGTCATTTGAGCGGCCCCTTTTTAAATGCTGCTGTAATTTGAATATAAACTGTGTTTCATATCCTCATGAGCATCTCGTTTTCTAGAGTGGTGCATACTTCTTGTGTTAATAGCATATATCAAGAAAATGGGAAATTGGGCTGTGCTGAAGCTCTAGAAACCAGATGGGTGATAGAAAGATTCAAATACACACTACTTTAGAAAAAATTGCACAGCTTATTTATAACTGTCCTGATTTAAGCCCTTACGTTTGATTAATGAATTTGTGGTTGGCAATACTGACATTTCCCTAAGTGCAAAATGTGTTGCTGAGTTCCCTATAGCTGCACATAGTAAAAAAAAAAAAAAAAATCCTGAGAAAAAAGGACAAGAATGCATTGTTTTTCCAACTGGCATTTAAAACCAACAGAGGGAACTTTAACATTTGCTCAAGATTTGGACTAGAGGGAGTGGTTTGGTCATTTAAACCAGCAATTGCTCTCAGCCAACATTTGGAAATCCAGCTGATTTGGCTTCTCCTCCAGTGCCAGCAGGGAGGCTGCATTTTGAGACTCTAGAATAACTTCATTGTTACATATAAACCAGAAAATAATGTAACATGATTCTTTAGTTATGTCAACCTGCCAGAGGCAGAGGCAGAGGCAGTGGCAGTAAAAGCCAGTGTTGGCCGAGTTTTGCAAGGAGAGTAATAAGCAGGAGTGTTTAAAGGTCATAGAGCATGTTTGGCTGAGCAGGAATGACTTTGTTCTATAGCTATTTGTCAGGGGGAAAAACCCAGATACTTTACATACACATTTATACACATTTGCTGTTTTCCTGAGGGAAAAAAAAAAGAAAAAAGAAAGCAATGTGTCTTGGAATCTTTCTTTTCATCTATTTTGCAAAGGGGACAGCACTGGATAGAGTTTTTACTTTGCTCAGTTATATTTACTCTTGCAAAGAGCAGACTGATATATATATATATATATATATATATATATATATAGATATATATATATATATCAGCAGTGGGATAATCCAAAATATAGTGAAGAGATATCTATGGCGTCTGGATCTGATTTTAAAAAGAAAAAAAAGAAGAGAACAGATCCATGAATTTGGTTCTTAACTGAGTTGTGCATTTGCTTGTGTTTTTGGTGGATGTAGTTGAAAGATTTGCCTACAGATGAGATGTGGATTCAAAGATTAAAATTCTGTGTGGAAAAGATTTTGCGGGGAGGATGGATAGAAGTTTTCACTCCCTTTGGTGCAAGAGGAGCTAGGCATTTGTTGTTGGTCTGCTGTGTGACACTTCAGGCATTTCTGTAAAACAGGAGCTTGTAGTCACCTCGTTGGGAGCTTGGGGTTGGATGTAACTTATAAAGAGCTTTCTGGCCATGGAAATCCTTTTCCTCTCTGATTTTGTCTTCTTATAAGATTCACAGGCAAGCCAGAATTCGATGTTTTCATCACTGTGTTCTGTCTGCAAGTAGGTCTTATAGATTATAGGCCCATCTGTAAATATTTCAGAAGCCAAATTTATATTGCCTGTGTACATGCATTACCTTTAGAGTGCTTTGGAGGTAATAGGGACACTTATAAAGTAGTGTCTCAGCCCTACACTTCAAACTTGCATTTTCCTGCACATCCAGGGCTCCCCAGTAAATCTAATCCCACAGTAAATCTAAGGTGCCTATGTTCCCTGAAGAGCTGCAAATCCACTGAGTTTAGAGTATCTGGCTTTTTATGTGAGTCCACATTTCCATTTTGGGTGTCATAAAGCTTTTAAATTAATTAAAATTTAATGAGTAGTGTTTTTAAGTGCAGTGAAGGAGGCATTTTAAGAAGGGCATCATTCTGACTACTGCTGGAAGCTTGAAGTGTTTTATTTAAAGCAAACTTTGTTGCTGTTGCAGCATTCTGGCCTTTCAAATTTCTGAAGATGTTGAGCACAGCCTGCCATCTGGCAGAGGTGGTGATCACATGTGTGCCTGCTGCTTCTGCTGTCATTTTGTCTCTTTGAACAGCTTTCTGTTGAGGAGTTTCTCCTTGTGCTGTAACATACTAGGTTGCTTAAGATTTTAATGGCAAAATCTTCTGTTACAAATGCTGTTAGTCTTCTTGTTCTTTGTAATTTTTCTGTAGTTTGAAAATAATGCCAGTCCTCAGGAGTAATTTTTAGAGGTTTGTGCTGTGACTTTTTCATCTCTATTTTAAAAAATGTAATTTAGCAGTGATGTTCTGGACTGATGCCCATATGAGAAATTTGGGAGAGCTCTGAGCCCTTTATGAACCAGAGGGGGATGGAGTGGGAAAGTTCAGAATTCCTGCTGCATCTACAGTTCTTCCCATCCCTGAATATTGGAGCTGCCTTCCATGGCATTCTCCTGAATAGATATGCCATTATATGGTCTCTATGGTGTACTCTTAAGTGGGGATGTGGCAGACATCATGCCTTCATGAGGCGTCTGTAAAGAAATTACCCATGATTGCAGAAATGGCAATTTTGGGAAAGCATTTGCAGCATGCTACGTTTATTTCCAGAGTGATGTGTGCTAGGCATGTCACAAAGTTGCTTTTCATTAGCTGTGTATAAGGCAGCATATATTATGGAGCATGAGTTTCTGATTTTGCTTTGTTGGAACTTTTCTCAGCAATCCATCTGGGAAACAAACACACAATTACTTACATTTGCTTGTTACCAGATTTTCAAAAAAATGGGACCACTATAGAACTTCCTCCAGAGACACCCTTTAGAAAAAAAGAGGTCATCATTGTAGGATTAGCTGTGGCTCAAAGTATAAAAAACCTAATTACCTTGTTGAAAATCTGTTCCCTAATTTAAATATGAGCTTTATGAATGTTACATTTTAAAAAGCTTTCTTGCATCTTCCAGAGCTTGTGCTTATTATGCCGAGACAAATATTTTTCTTGTTGTAACAAGTGCAGTTCCATTTCAAGGTGCTCCACGTAATTCCCCTAGAAATGGCATTCACTTATTTAAACTGTGCTTAGGAGAAACACAAGAAAAGTACTTCCTTTCTAGACAGCAACTTCTTTGGAGACAGGAATCATCATAGAATTCAGAAAATATTGACGTTTGTATTTAGTAGCAAAGTCTTTGGGGCACAAGATCTTACTGTAATATTTCAAGGCCATTAACATCAAAGTTGACTTATCACCTGAGAGCTGAATATAAGCTCCAAGAATAAGGTAAATAATGAAAGGTTAATACAATCTTAGCTGGAAGAGACTTCCATCTCTCATCAGTTGTTTACAATGCAGTGTGACACATTACTACTAATCTGCACAGCCCTCGGAAGTGGCTAAAGTCAGATTTTACTTTCGTGTTTGCTATTCTTAAACAGTAAGTTCATAAGCTTGTGGGAGTTTCATGCCTGATTCTGGGAAAGAGCATGGAAGTAGTGAGGTGAGAGACTAAACAATTTAAAGAAAAACAAATGTTGGAGGGCAGTATCTCCATTTAAGTGGACGTAGCTCTATTTACACCAACATATTTTCAAGCACTGCAGTTTTAGGACACCAAGGGTGGTAACCTGGAAGAGATGCTTATGCTTATGTTAGTAAAAGAAAGGACAAGGGGATGTATTCCACTGGGTGCTTCCATTATGCATCAGCCAAATTTGGAGTATGATCCCCTCTCACTGAGTATTTGCTTTTCATAGCAGGCATAATTTTGTCAACAACTGTTTAGTATCACAGGGCTTTTTAAAATTTAAATCAAAATTTGCTTTGATATGAGTGTTGCATGATGCTTTATAGATTTCTGCTGCAGTACAGCCATTACCTGCTCTGTAGCTTTTTTAATTGGTAATGATTTATAATTTATTTATAACTTGATACAATTCCCTCTTTCTCTGAAAAAGCACATGACTAGGCAATTATTTTCTCAGGCTTGTGATCAGTCTGGTCAAAGAAATATAGAGTAACAGAAATGCTACCACTATTGAACTGTGGTGTCAGTAACTCTCTAGTAACTCTTGCCACTAAAAGCTATTTTTTTCCTTCCTGTGAGCTATTAGCCTTTTCTCTGTAAAAGCTCATGAAGCAGGTGGTCATGGGGAGTGAGAATCTCTAGTTCTATGAATGATTTTTTGTTCTCCTTACAAACTACTTCTGAGTCATATTTGCTCTTCCTGATGGAGATAATTTTCCACGTGACACAGATAATTTTTCACCTATCAGCAACAGCACGTGTATAGAATGAGTGACAATCTTGTCTGTCTCACTGAACATCATCAGGAGAGCCATCTTATTTCTATTTCTGATTATTTGTCTTTAGCATTAATCTGTGAAGCAGTGCCGAGTTGCTGTCCGAGGTTTTTTCTCTACTCCCCCGGGCGGGGGAGGAGGCTGCACCGGCCGAGCTGTGGCACAGCAGCTGGCAGCCAGGCGGCACTGCCCAGATGCGCCGGGGGCGTCCGGGCAGCGCCTCGGCAGGAGGCAGCGCTATTCAGCAAGAAGGCGAAGTAGAAAAGAGGGACCCGAATCAGGGCAAAGTCCAGAGTTCTTTAGTATCTCCAGGGAACGCCAGCCGACTCGGGACCACGAGGCAGGGGTACAGCCGATTATAAAGGGACGGAACATACAACACTTCAACCAATGAGGGAGAACTCGGGAGGGAACAAACTCGTGACAAACATGCCGGCTCGCCAATAGGGAATGCGACAGGGAGGGACCCTTGTTCCCGATCCAGTCACCCACCGAGGAGGGGAGAACTTTCTGGAGATAGGGAAGGGGACAGTGTGTGATGGACAGGAACTCAGGGAGGGATTGACAGAGGGTAACCAGGGGAACAGGGGTGGAGACAAAAAACTGACACTCTCAAAAGGAGGGGTTGCCGGGCAGGGGGGGAACCCTAGGACCGAACCATTATAACTTCAGGGGGAAACAGAACAAACCAAATGAACCCTGCACCACAACAAAGCAGAAAAACCCTGGCTGATGGGGCAGCTGACACAGAGGAAAACCTTTTAACCTTTTTACTTTCTTTTAACAAGCAGGAAAATATGAAGAGCAGTAAGGGAATAGGCTATGATGATCTGAATTAATGCCCCTTTAGTAGCTGTTGTTCTGATAGTAAATGTCTTGCTCCACTGATTTACAACATGATTGAGTTTGCTGAAACAAATATATTACACTGAAAAAAAAAAAAACCTTCTCCAAAAATAACTAAGGCTTTATAGCTGGGACTCAAAAATTTAAATTGTAGTGTCCTGTGGAAGCTATTTCTCACTTATCATACACCCTCCACCGTGAATGTCTCCCCTCACCAACATGGTGTAGAAATCCTCATCCTGTAGTTGGAAACACTGTCTGGATTTCTGCTCCTGACTTCAGGGGTCGTCATGTGCTCCTTAGTATTGCCATGAGGGATGTGTCTCAATAAATCAGTTCTGTGTCTGATCTGATACCAGCAGAAAACATTTTGGATGGAAGCACTTCACCGCCCCAATGGGACATGTCCCCCAAAATTCCTGTCAGTGCTTGGCCCCCACGGAGCCTGGTGGCACCCGAGGACTTGTAGGAGCCACTTGGCCATGTTTCTTATGCACCGCATGAATATCAGCCTTTGCCAACAGCCTGAATTCTTTTAAAAGATGGACCCAAAATATTTGGGTTTTTAATTCCTCCCAGGTCCAAATCTGGACTTAATCCAGAGGTGAGTTTGGGCCTATGCCCGTGTAACATTAAGGGAGCTCCTGGTGGATATGCCATCATACATCTGTGTGCTGTTGAGGAAGGGGCTGCCCGAAGGTGCTTAAGCTTACAATGAAAACCTCCACTGTGAATTTTGAGGGGTTTTTTTCTCCTACTCAGCTGCATGGACTGCAGAACATAAGAATCTTATCCTTACTTACTTAGAACTGCTCACATTTTCTTCTGGTCTGAATATCTTGCAAAGCCAGCAAGTATTTGAACTCATTCTCCTAAACATGGAAAATACAAGAGTTTTGAATCTGTTGTGCTGAGCTGCAGCTTTCTTTAAAAACTTACAATTTATAAATATAGCAGTGCAATCAGTTCTAACAGTATTCTTATTTTGTACATCTGATCTTTATCTATGAGTCATTTCTGAAGCATTTGACAAAAAAAATTGTAAGATATGAAAACTTAAAAAAAAAAGGCAAATTACCAGACAGTCCAGTGGATGTCTCTCAGGGAAGAATAGAAATGTTAATAATTTTCCCTCTTTGCTTCTCCAGTTATGAAAGGAGATTGAAGGTTGACCCTGACCCAAAGCAGAATAAAAATTGAAGTATTTTTTTTCCCTGAATGCTCAGGGTGACCAGGATCAAAGATCAGAGCTCAATGTAAACTGGACAATGCTGAATAAGTTGTTAAGTGTCTGAGATTAACATTTATATTTGTCCAGCAGGTATCTCAAAGTTGATAAAAGTCATATAAAAATTGCCTTTATATAGATATGATATCCATAAGAGAGGGACTAGTTTATTAGGATGAGACAGTTGTAAATGTTTGTCTAAAAAAGACAAAATAAAAAAATCTCTTGTGACATGGGATATGTTTAGTGCTTCTCCTTTGGCTTTCAAGCAATGCCAAATGCTGAGTTTACGTTGGACTGTAGGTTTGTGTAGGCCTGCCTGAAATCAAAATAACCTTATTTATTTAAACTTGGAGTTTCTTTCAGATTTGGGGTTGACTGGCACATATTATACCTATGACCAATTTTTTCCTTCCAAATGAAGCACACAGCAAAACACAGGACAAGGTTCTATCTCCCAGCTTTCTGAAGCTGTGAAATGCTTCCTTTGCCGTTAGTGTTGTTTTCCTTGTCTCCCATGGGTCTATATTCAATTTTATATAAAACAAGGGTCTCGCCCAGTACCTGCAGGGTATTGAAACAACATAACTTTGCCCAGCTGCCACACTGCAACTCCTGCTCATATTCTCTGCAGCCCTGTAGGACTGCCAGTGGCTGCTGCCCGCTTCAGAATTCTCTCAACTGTGTTCTCTGTTAGGTCTCCATGATTTTTGAATTGTTCCACTAGAATTTACTCATCTCACTCTCTGCCGAAAAGCAGCTATTTAAAACTACACAATATTCCATATTTAAAATGAAATTATGCATTAAATTCTGGCATATGGTCATTATCTACCACCTTATTTTAGGCTATATTGCCCAATGCCCTCTATTTTGGGTGTTTTCATGTTGCAATCATTCATCTTCTATCCACTGAAATGTAAATGAAATGCAGCCGTTGTGGCTTTTTTGAAACCTGGAGAAATTAATGTAGGTTTCTTAGTATTCAGAGATTCTCAAGAAATATTAGATGAAGCAATATTAAGTAATCTAGTTCAGCTACTTCCATCTGAATTCAAAGTGCCAATTACTAATTTTTTCTTCAGGTGACAGCTGCATGAAGTGACTTTTGTGTAAGGATGTTGTGGTGTGTTTTTATTTTCTTTATTTGACATATTTTACTGCTTAATTTGTGGTTTTGAAATCCCTCTGTGTTTTTCCCTGCACTTGGAGTGACACAGGTTCCCCATTTTGTATCTTATGTCGCTAAATTTAGACGCATTCCCTCATTGTTACTCAGCTCGGTTAACTGTCAGTTCCTGTTTGTTGCCTCGCCACTCCCTGCCAAGTTGTCAATCCCTCCTGTTCCTACCTTTTTCCCTCCGAAAACCTCCCCTGCTCCTCCCCTCCTCAGATGTCAATCCTTCCCCAACCCGTCCCTTTCTTCCAGAACCTTCCCTGACAGTTTTGTATCCTTTGAAACCCCATTGGTTTACTTAAGCCTTTTCCCTCCCTTAAGGTCCTCTATTGGCTTACAGATTGTATTTCCCTGCCTTGTGTTTCACCCCCAGTTCTCCCTATTGGTTAAAAATTGTATCCTCCCCCAAGACTGCCCATGTTTATAAGCTGAGTGCCTGAGCTTGATTTAGGGTTTTGGGACCTTGGAGTTGGGGTGTGTGCTGTGTATTAAAGTCACCACAGCTCCTGACCTAAGACTTGTGCTGCTGCTTTTTGTTCATCTGTGCCGAACCTTCGCTGACAGCTGGAATTCTGCAAGGCCTGCCAAGGGGATCTGTTGTGCCCCTGTTGTCGCCATCACTGGAATGGGGGCTTAGAGCCCCCCTGCCGTGACATAAGGAAATCTTACTGTTCTGAGGAGCCATTTTAATGTGAGTTAGAAGCTTTAAACTTGTTGAGAACACACATTTTCCAAGCATACCCGTCCAGAGCTTTGTGGTTCTTCTTTTTAAGTCAGACTCATTTCCTAATATACCAAGTAACAGAGCATGCTGATTTTATCTTTACTAGTGCTGATTTGGAATGTTTTTCCACTGAGGCATAGTCTATGTTTCATTAGTCTGACACTGTGTGTTTCTGCTGACAATGGTCTTAACCCTAGAACAAGACAGGTGCAGTACAAAAGCTACAGCGCGCCCTAGCTGCGCTAGCAGGGTGCTAATTTTGGATCATCAGACTCCTGCAAGAGCAGCCTGTTACCTGTCACCGTATCCTATTAGTGCCCTGTCACCTGTTGTAAATGGTACATGGCATCTTAATTACTGCTTGCAGCTTTGCAGTGCTCACATAACTTGACTTGGATTGTGGAACTCTTCTCACCAAATATTTATGAGCCATAGTATTTTTTCGCTTTGTTTGTTCTAAGATATTATTGCAACACGGTAACAAGCTCTTTAATGTATAGGAGCTGTGTGTTTCCTGCAGGACTGATAGTCAAACAAAAAGCCACATGGCTACGACTCTTCTGCAGAAGGAATTGCCTGACTAGTGATAAATTAATCTAAGTGCTGGAGTTATTCATGTCTGTAAAACATATAAGCAGTGCTGATTTGGAAGTGACTGTTTCACTGTTTTTATATTTTATATTGGAGAAATATCAGGAAAACTGACTTGATACATCAAAAAAAAAATTTATTTACCTTTCAAATTACAATATACATTTTGATTTCTGAGTACCCTTATTCTGTGCCAATGAATCTGTAAACTACCAAATGCCATAGCTTTTAGTGCGCAACATAACTTGCATCAGAGAGATACTGCTATGTAAAAGTTCTGATTGCCCATGTAGTGTTCACACAGAATTCACAGAATCACTGAGTTGGAAGAGATCTTCAAGATCATAGAATCCAATCCATGCCCTAACACCTCAACTAAACCCTGGCACCCAGTGCCACATCCAGGCTTTTTTTAAACACATCCAGGAATGGTGCCTCCACCACCTCCCTGGGCAGCCATTCCAGAACTTTATAACTCTTTTAGTGAAAAACTTTTTCTTAATATCCAACCTATATTTCCCTTGGTGCCGCTTGAGGCTGTGTCCTCTGGTTCTGTCAGCACTGCCTGGAGAAAGAGACCAACCCCACCTGAGCACAGGCACCTTTCAGAGAGCTGCAGAGAGTGATGAGGTCATCTCTGAGTCTCTTTTGTCCAGGCTGAACACCCCCAGCTCCCTCAGTCATTCCTCATAGGACTTGTGTTCCAAGCCTCTCACCAGCCTCATTGCCTCCTCTGGATGTGCTCCAGCCTCTCAACGTCCTTTCCAAACTGAGGGGCCAGAACTGGACACAACACTTGAGGTGCGGCCTCACCAGTTATTCAGATCATGTTGCACTGACTATTACACAGTATATTCACCTATATAGGGCTAAAGGTGGGTGTATGTCAGAAACATTTCTAACATGAATGCCTTTGCAATGCTGAGAACTTTACATGCCAATAGAAAAAATGGGTGTTCCCCCACCTATGCTACATTTTCCTGATAATATTTCAAGGTACAAATCTCATATTTACAAAAACTTCTTTTGGGTTGTTTCCTTTGATTAAAAAGCTTCATTTAGTAGTTGCATTTGCCAGGGTAGCTTTCCAAATTTCTTGACCTGCTTTTTTGTTTAGTTATTTTCTCTTAGTGTGGGTGGTCTTAGTATCCCCTGTCCATGTCTGTGCTGCTCATAATAGTGCCTGACTCCTCTTTTATACATATCACAGGCAAACATTGGCTGTGGTTTCCATCAGAAAAAGCTCCTTTGGGCTCCAATGCTCCACTGATAGAGCCTGTTTACACTGAGATTATCTTGTCACCTCTACTGATCAGTAGTGACATGAAGCTGTACTTTACTTCATGGAAATCTTGCATGTATTGTCCGAGTCCTGTGACTGATGTTTTCCATTCCTTTATCAAGGTCCTTTTTATGAAATGTGCAGTCCATGTTGAAATGAGACAAAGAGCACGAGTACCCTTGCACTGAAACCAACTTTGTTCTTACAGACAGCATTATGACAGCACTCTGGAGTGCTCTGGGATAACCTTTTTCTGCTTGGACCCATCAGTGTCAAGCTTTTGTATGCTCCTATCTGCCCAACCTGCTACTGCACGGCATCTGAGGAATGTTAAAACTTTATAAACTTGTATGAGGTCCTCTATAATTTTTCTTACAGCTGTTGCCCAGGTTATGGCTTAATTTTCAGTTGGGACACATCTATGTTTTGCTCGTTCTTCTCTAGCCAAGTGTTTGAAAGGAGCCGTGCAGTGCAATAGCACTGAAGTTGCTGTTTGTCAGTGGAAGACTGATGTGACTGACAGGATTTACAGTGATGCTAGGGCTTTGAGAGTAGCACTGGCTCAGTTGCTTGCTGCAAGTTAGTCACAGCAGGGGATCTTTCTGGAGGGCTTTCTGTCGTTCCTGGGGTGGTGGTGACTTGGGATCTCTGGGAATTTGCCGTTGCCTACAAGGCACAGAGTGACCCTGTTGGGAGGGGAAGGTTGGTCATGTCCGTGCTCCCTCTGACAGCCCAGCTCTGTGCTGTGGTATCTTTCAATCTTCTCTCTCTGCTCTAGCTCATCTTTTTTTCCTCTTACAGAGCCTCCCAGGCAGAGCATGAACTGTGTAGGATTGGAACTTATACTGAGGTTTGAGTCTCCAACA